GGGTAGGCAGATCTCTGTAAGTCTGAGGCCAGCCTCGTATATATAATGTAGTCCAGGGTAACCTGGGCTACATAACGAGATCATTCCTCAAAACAAACAAATTGGGATGTAGTCCATTTTAATTATGTGGAAAAATGTATCTGTCAGATCACTTCTATGTGGAAGAATGTATCTGTTAGATCTCTTATATTTTACTATGTATACATACTTAATCCCTTGATGCTGACTACAGGTTTGTCCATTTGTTTGTCCATTTGTTTCTGCTGCTAACTTATTTCAAATCTTCTGAAGCTGTTAAGAAATGGCTATAGTTGGGGTTGCAGAGATGGCTCAGTGGTTAAGAAATGGTTATAGATATATAGTCATATACAAATTTGAAAATACTTTATCTTCATTACTTGGTCTTTTGTCACTCTGAAATATCCTCCTATTATATAAATGGCACTTCTTACTTTATGTTAAGTTTTTATGTTTAGTTTTTTTGAGGTAAGGTCTCTCTGTGTAGCCTTGGGTGTCCTGGAACTTACTCTGTAAACCAGACCAGGCTGGCCTCAAAATCACAAGAGATTTCTGTTTCTACCTTTGAAGGGTTAGGGATGCTGGGCTTAAATAGTACATACCTGCCACTTTTTATTATTTTTTTAAACTTTGTTTTTGTTTGAGACATAAAATCAGTCTGTATACCTGGCCTGGAACTCATTATATAGCCTAGGATAGTTTCAAACTCACAGCCTCCCAAGTGCTAGGCTTACAGATGAGCTACACACACACCCCCAACTGCTTTCAGTATTTGAGTAATATTTTATATGTAGCCCTTCAATATGTTTCTGACAATCTTCCAAGTTTAAAAGGAGCATTTGATATATCTATATACATTTGATCCTGTTGATAGTATATTTGGATTTGTTAAGACTGTAAAGATGTTTTATGTAGGAGTGTTTTGTCTGCATGTATGTCTTGTACCTCAAGGCCTGCCTGGCATCTGAGCTGGCCCGAAGAAGGCATCTGATGCCCTGGAACTGCCTTCTGCCAGAGCAGCAAGTGTTCTCAACTGCTCTGCTGAGCCAGATCCAGCCCCCGTGTTTATATTTTAAATGTGTTTATTGTGCAGGCTTGGTTTGGTTTTTCCCCTGGCATGTGTTCCTTTTCTTTTCTTGCCACCTTTGCTTTGGTTTGGTTTGTTCTGCTTTTTGCCTCCTCCTTGATAGTATCCCATTTTTTTTTTTTTATTCTTCTAGAGTTCTTATACTCTTTTAGTCTAAAGATCACATTATTAACCCTTTCAGTGTTCATTAATTGGTACTTTTTATCCTTTTCCTAGATAATGTGCAAGGACTTTAATATGTTAGTCATTGTCTGACGTCATTGCTATTGGCAGATTTTTATCTTTGTAGATTTTAAATACAAAACATTTTGTTTTAGATAGTCTGTACATTATCTTCGTTTGTGTTTTCATTCCTGCACCTCAAACTTTTCTTCTTGAGGATTTCCGCCTTGCTGTTGAGAACTTCCTTTAGCTTAGGACAGTGAATCAATGCCTACTATCTCTTTGCCTCATGTTCACCTCATATTTAAAGATATGATGGATTTTTTTTTCTGTTTTTTCTCTTTTTTTTTTTTTTGGTCTAACTTCTTTTTATGAAGATTTATTTATCTTTCTTTATTAATTACACTTTACTCACTTTGTATCCCCCCCCCCCGCGGTTCCCGCCCTCCTCCCATCCCAATCCCTCCCTCCCTCCACCCTCTGCCTGCATGCCCCTCCCCAAGTCCACTAATAGGGGAAGGCTTCTTTTTCTTCCTTCTGATCCTAGTCAATTAGGTCTCATCAGGAATGGCTGCATTGTCTTCTTCTGTGGCCTGGTAATGCTGCTTCCCCCTCAGGGGGAGGAAATTAAAGAGCAGGCCAATCAGTTCATGTCAGAGGCAGTCCCTGTTCCTATTACAATGGAACCCACTTGGATACTGAACTGCCATGGGCTACATCTGTGCAGGGGTCTTAGGTTATCTCCATGCATAGTCCTTGGTTGGAATAGCAGTCTAAGGAAAGATCCCTGTGCTCAGATTTTTTTGGTTCTGTTGCTCTCCTTATGGAGTTCTTGTCCTCTCCAGATCTTACTATTTCCCACTTCTTTCCTAAGATTCCCTGCACTCTGCCCAAAGGTTGCCCATAAGTCTCAGTATCTACATTGATAGTCTGCAGGGCAGAGATTTTCAGAGGTCCTCTGTGTCAGGCTCCTGACTTGTTCCCTCTTTTCTCCTTCTTCTGATGTCCAGCCTCTTTGCCTTTCTGGATAGGAATTGAGCATTTTAGCAAGAGTCCTCCCTCTTGATTAGTTTCTTTAGGTGTACAGATTTTAGTAGGTTTATCCTATATTATATGTCTATATGAGTGAGTATATACCGTGTGCATCTTTCTGCTTTCGGGATAGCTCACTCAGGATGATCTTTTCCAGATCCCACCATTTACCTGCAAATTTCATGATTTCCTTGTTTTTTATTGCTGAGTAATATTCCATTGTGTAGATATACCACAATTTGTGCATCCATTCCTCCACTGAGGGGCATCTGGGCTGTTTCCAGCTTCTGGCTATTACAAATAAAGCTGCTACAAACATGGATGAGCAAATGTTCTTATTGTGTACTTGAGCCTCTTTTGGGTATATGCCTAGGAGTGGTATGGCTGGATCTTGAGGAAGCGCTATTCCTAGTTGTCTGAGAAAGCGCCAGATTGACTTCCAAAGTGGTTGAACCAGTTTACATTCCCACCAGCAGTGGAGGAGGGTTCCCCTTTCTCCACAACCTCTCCAGCATGTGCTATCACTTGAGTTTTTCATCTTGGCCACTCTGATGGGTGTAAGGTGAAATCTCAGGGTCGTTTTGATTTGCATTTCCCTAATGCCCAATGAGGTTGAGCATTTCTTTAAGTGCTTCTCTGCCATTCGATGTTCCTCTACAGAGAGTTCTCTGTTTAGCTCTGTTCACCATTTTTTAAGTGGATTACTTGGTTTGCTGCTTTTCAGCTTGTTTAGTTCTTTACATATACTGGGTATGAGCCCTTTGTCCGATAGAGGGTTGGTGAAGATCTCTCCCAGTCTGTAGGCTGTCGCTTTGTTTATTCCTGGTTACTTTTGGTTTGAAAAATGATGTATGGAAAGAACTTAGAGCCTGGGACGACAGTGCCTACCTACAAAACTGTCATCTGTCTGCCAGACCCTTAGGCACTAGCAGTTGTACCATCGTAATCCGATCTTAGAAGTTTAAACCTTTATACCAAGTATATAGAGACCCTTCAGATGACCTGAGGCCATGACCACTGTATCCGTAAGAACTGTGGTAAGTTCAGTTTACCCTCTGTCTAGAATGCAGATGTTTGAGATCCCAGTGTTAGGCCGCAACTCATACCCTTTTACTCTGTATTTCAAGGGTTGGCCAGCTTTTCTCTGAAGGATCATAAAGTATTGTAGATATTATAAGCCATAAAACCTCTGTCCCACAGTTACCCTGCCAGTGTTGAACAAAACAGCTGTAGATAATCCATTAATAACAACATTTATTCTAATAAAGACCTATAAACATGTATATAGGCTACATGTAGCTCCAGACTGTTGCTGGACTATACTATCTTTGCCAGCTGTAGTATGTTCAAAGTTCTGCTCAGACTCGGCCACCTCTTGTGATATTACAAATTACCAGTAACTGCTGGGCCAGCTTTTCCTGCCCCTTAGCTGTCCAGTACCTTCAAGAGTTTATGTTGAGTTAGTTATTCCTAGCAGGAGATTTAATCTGTTAAACCTAGTTGGCTGTTACCAGAAACTAAAGTCCTAAGGCAGCCAATTGAAAACAATAGTGAGTTTTTCCCTTCCTCATCTCAAGAATAGAAAGTTCTTGAGAAAGCATATCATAATAGCAATCCCTTATATGACTTTTCATTTAAAATTTAAGTTTCAGATGTCTGTCCCATTTCCCTTTCTGAATGAGGATTGATCATCCTACCCAGGGTCGTCCTCCTTGCCTAGCTTCTTTAAGTGTACAGATTTTAGTATGATTATCCTATATTATATGTCTAATATCCACTTATAAGTGAGTATATACCATGTGTGTCTTTCTGTTTCTGGGATACCTCACTCAGGATGATCCCACCATTTGCCTGCAAAGTTCATGATTTCCTTGTTTCTAATTGTTGAGTAGTATTCCATTGTGTAAATGTACCACAATTTCTGTATCCATTCCTCCGTTGACAGATACCTGGGTTGTTTCCAGATTCTGGCGATTACAAATAAAGCTGCTATGAATATAGTTTAGCAAATGTCCTTGTTGTATACTTGAGCATATTTTGGATGTATGTTTAGGAATGGTATAACTGTATCTTGATGTAGCACTATTCCTAATTGTTGAGAAAGGGCCAGATCAATCTCCAAAGTAGTTGTACCTCCCGTATCAGTAGATTGGGGTAGGAGCATGGGAGGTGAAGAGGGGGAGAGGGCAGGATTGGGAAGGGATGAGGGAGGGGCTACAGCTGGGATACAAAGTGAATAAATTATAATAAATAAAAATAAATCTAAAAACTTGAGTTTCAGGACATGTTTCTTCAATTTTCCCAGAGAGGTTGTCAGAACTTACATGATAATGAAAACAATGTGTGCTTTCAGTGTCAGTGTGAGCCAAGTGTCTGCTGCTCCTGTGCACCTGAGATGGATGGCTCCTGTGGCCACAGAGATCAATTTTAATTGGCTTGGAGCTATTTGTTACACAGCTTAGATTAAAAGAAGACTCTCTGCACAATGGTTCTCAATGCCCAGAGCTAAAATGTGTCCATTTTTCAGTGTTCTTGATAGAATTCTTTTAACCTCATTTGTTGGATTTATAATATCTTGCTAAATATCCTATGCCTGTTTGGGTCCTATCATTCTCACGATGTGCTGGAAGGACACTTTTTATTCAAAGTGATCAACGTAAAACTGACACAGTTTACTTTCTAAAATGAATGCTCTCTGCAGGGAAAGGGGCGGATACATCGAGGAAACTATCCAAGTCCATCCTCTCCTGTTATAGTCCGATTGCCTTCCATGTCTGATGTCCCAGAAGAGACTTTGACTAGTGAGACAGCCATGGAGACCGACATTACAGAACAGCAACAAGCAGCAATGCAGCAGGAGGAAAAAGTACTGACTGAGCAGATTGAGAACCTACAGAAAGAAAAGTAAGTGTCCAAAAAAATTAAAATGTCTTTTGTGTTTCCTTCCTTCTACCCTTTGTTTTTCCTTCTTGTCATTAAATATCTCATGTGTCAATATGTCAGGTTATCTCGGGGGATTTGGAATTGACAAAGACTTGTTGCCTATACTCAGGGTAAGCGTAGAAGTCCTCACAGGAATCTTGGTGCTAAGCAGTACTAGAAAAAGGGGGGAATCACATGCCCAGGGTATGCCAGTCTTAGTCCATGAACAATGGACAGCCAAGATGAGGTATTATAATCCTGACAGGTCAGGGACCAGTCTCCATATCAGATGAGCAAATGGAACAGTAAGAGTCCCTTGGCTAAGACTGTAAGACCTGGGGTCTCACAACTCAGGAGTTCAAGATCGCGCCCTTCCCAGAAACTCCCCCAGACCACGACTCGTTGCAAAAGCAAGAGGTTTATTAACCATTGCGCAATGGGGTCACCCCTGCCGGTCAGCAAAGAGTGGCACCGGGGATCAAAGGCCTTTAAGTTTTTAAAAGAAAAATTGTGGGAAATTTGAAGTTGCAGTTTGGCAATTTAGGATTGGATGAGGAAGCTATGAAGTAAGATAATTGGTTAGTCTTAGGTGCTCAAGCTTGGCCAGTCCTGCCAAGTGTGGATGCAGCTGCAATTGAAGGTGGGGGTGGTTAGCTCATCCTTGAAGATTAGGGGCTGCAGACTTTTGGCTGGAGGTCAAAAGCTACTCAGAAGAAGTCTAGGTTTGTTGCTAAGAAATGCTATCTCAAAGACAGGAGTTTTTCTTTTTGCTGAGTGAAGGTCATTGCTTGCTTGCCCCTTTTTTTTTTTTTTTTTTTTTTTTATCTGTCCTCACAGATAGGGTCACATTTCTTTATTCTCTGGAAAGGTACCAAGAGGCTTTAGCTTAACCTGAATCTAAAACTCAAAACTATAGGTTTTAGAAGACATACAGGTTACAAAGTTAGTCTAACCCTTTCAAGATAAAGCCCTTTTCAAGCGTAGATATTAATTAACAGTTCCATGAAGGAATGTTCTAATTTAAAAATCAATATTACTGAGGGCCCAACAACTAAATAGAACAAGGCAGCACCTGTAGTACTGGGTAGAAAAACTTGTAGTTATTTAAAAGAGAAAGTTAAATTCTGTTATCTCCATCATCACCCTGGTGGGAGTGGGTCGACACTATCCCATAGTTCTCCCTAAAGGTACTAATTCTGATTGACATTAATTACTCTTTTAAGAAATCCTTAAGGTTTCCTTAATTCCCTGGAGCAAACCTCTTAGGTCTTAGAACTTGATTCCAAGCAATCAGGAAACTGTAATATTAGGATCGATTCTGGAATTTAGGGAAACTGAAAAATGCTAAGGTTCAGCTGTTGAAAAAATGCGGCACTAGTTACTAAACAGCGCTGAAAAGATGACCTACCTCAGCTCTGGTGAACCTGGTATTGGAGATACAGAAGGGTAAATAGGAAATTGTTAGGAAAGAAAAAGTGCAGAAGTGGAAGCATAAATCTCAAAAGATGTGAGCGCACATGGAAATAATAAGCTGCAGGAAAGGCTGACCTTGAAAGGATGGTCTTATGGATGTCAGGCTATTTAAAGATGAGAAGTCATTAGAGTCAGAGCTGGCTTATTTGTAGGAATTGATAAGCTGTCTGACCTGCTGATTGGAGAAGTTTAATTACATAGAGGGAAAGGGTTGCAGACATAAGGGTATTTTGGTACAAGGATTATTAAAATTTATTAATTTAATCACTTTACAGCCCGATCCAGCCCCTCCCTCCCAGTCCCACCCTGACACTCCCTTCCAAGTTCTTGTAAAGGTACCGATTGAAATAGAGGAAAGTGTGGACAAGGCCCTGGTTAAGAAAATAAAGTTCAATGCAAATTCTTAATAACTGCAAAATATGAAGGGACATTACTAAAATGTAGGTGGGTGATGGTGGGTGATCCTGATAAATTAGAATGTACTGTAGTCAGAGATAATGCAAGCTTCACAGGTCAGAAAAGTTCAGTGTTTTGCTTATCCATTGTTATAGTCAAGGTAGAAAATAAAGTCTGTGTTTAGTGATTAAAACTTCATCCAAAGATAGTGTAAGAGCAAAAACGAAATTTGGAGATGATCTAGTTTGTTTTCTGGATGAAGAAACTGAGGTCCAGGTATTTCACGAATGAGTTTGGAATCCTGAAATTCTGGTTTTCAGTCCAGAGTTCATCTTCGTATATCTCGCAGTTGGCAGCACCATACCTCAGTCTCCCTTCCCCTAGCTCCACCATTACTCATAAATTTATTGTCGTCTTGTACTTCCTTTCTCACTGCTTTCCATAGAAGTAAATCCTTTTTGTCACCTTGGTGGAACAGTAAGAAATGCCTTTGCTATTTAGCTTCTTTGCTTTAATGGAATGTCTTCCTGTCATCTTTTTTCTATTTCCCATCATGTTAATGAATTTGTTGATTGTGTCTCATAGGGAAGAACTAACATTTGAGATGCTTGTGTTGGAACCTCGTGCCTCTGATGATGAAACCCTTGAGTCTGAGGCTTCTATTGGGACTGCTGATAGCTCAGAAAATTTGAATATGGATTCTGAAGGTACCGTTTTTGAGAGAGTTAATAAATGAATATAGTAGACTAGTGGCACAATTTCATTTTTAAAGAAGGAATAAGAATTCACAAGCTAAGGTTGGAAGGGTTGCTCACTGGTTAGGAACACTCAACTGGATGCTCCTTCCAGAGGAGCTGGTTCAATTCCCAGCACTCACATGGTAGCTGAAACTCCACTCCCAGGAAATCCGACCCCTTTTCTGGCCTCTGAGGATTCCAGGCATGCACTTGGTGCACATACATACATTCAGGCACAGCACACACACAGAGAAGAATACACAATAAATATTTTAAATATTTAAATATAACAATTTTAAATATATAAAATTTATTTTAAAAAAAAAAAAAAGCTTTCTTGGGTTTGGCCTGGTGGCACATACCTTTAATCTCAGAGCTTAGGAGACAGAGGTAGACAGATCTCTGTGAGTTCGAGGCTGGCCTGGTCTATAGAAGTTCTATGCCAGCCAAGAAGCTACATAATAAATACCAGGGAAGTCTGGTATGTTTGAATATGACACAGTCAGAGACCTAGAACAGTCATCATTCCAAAGGCTCCCAGAATATATAATAATTCTGTCTTCCTGAGAGACACAACTCAGTTAATGTAGCAGTTCTGCCTCACAGCAGGGCACAGTGTTGGGACTCTTAGAAAAATGGCCACAGGGTGGGCATTACTGTGATTACTGCCTTTTACCCCTGTGGTAAGTTACCAAAATTAAATCATCAACAGCATTACACTTATGTGAATCTAGTGAACAGTTATGAGGAAGTGTCACAAAGACCCATGATTCCTTAGGAAGTTCAGACCATTTGTAAAAAAGACTCAGCTTTGGGCTTATGTGTTATGTGTGTGTGTGTATGTTTTTTTTTTTTCCAAGACAGAGTTTCTCTGTGTAGCCCTGGCTGTCCTGTAACTCGCTGTGTAGACCAGGCTGGCCTCAGACTCCGAGATCCACCTGCCTCTGCCTCCCGAGTGTGCTGAGTCATGTGCCACCGCCATCCAGCTCCAAGAGGGCTTGTAAAGGAGTGACTGTACAAAATCCACTAGAGCTTCAAACTTTAACCCATCAGTTTCACACGTGAACACTGGCTTCTGTTTGTTAGGTGATGTTGCTTAAGTGGACTCTGCAATGTACAACTTAATTTTTTGTTTTTACATTAAGAGAGAAGTTCAGCCCTTAGCTCCCTGAAAGCAGCTGGCAAGTCTGAGCCTTCAAGCAAGTTGCGAAAGCAGCTAAGAAAGCAGCCAGACTCTTTGGACTCAGTCAGTTCCTCCCTTTCTTCATGTTTATCTAACACTACGTCATCTCATGGCACTAGAAAAAGATTTCAGATTTATTCCAAGTCTCCATTTTACCGAGCTGCCTCATCTTGTGAGGCCTTGGGAATGGAGGGACCACTAAACCAAGCCAAATCTCTAGAAGACAGGCCTCAGTTCATCAGCAGAGGAACCTTCAACCCTGAAAAGGGCAAACAAAAATTAAAGAATGTGAAAAACTCACCTCAGAAAACCAAAGAGACCCCAGGGGGGACAGTCACATCTAGCCGAAAGAAAGCTGTGGACCCGGACTGCAGCTCTGCACAGCAGCTGCCGCTCTTTGGAAGTGATGAGTTTATGGTCTGAGTGGACAGACCTGTCCCCACATCTCATCCTCGGGGCCTCCTCTGCTCACTTTGTCTGTAACAGTCAGTCCTGATGGTCTTGCCTCTTGTTTCAGGCGACAGTTGGTGTGCTGGATCGCTGGGCTTCCTGCAGAAGAGACCTCTCTGAAGCTTTCTAGGGATGGGCCAGCTGTGCCTTGGCTGCTGTATTTTATTTGAGATCCACTAAAAGCCACCTAGGACCTGGGGGATTTTGACCAACAGTAGTTGCTTCCCCCATCCCCCTTTTCCTTCCCACAGGTAGTTACTGAATTATGGGGCTGTTGTGATCCTGAGGAATGCTCTCATTTCTAGTATTTGAAGAAAACATAAAAACCTCTCTTAACCATAAAAGCAAAAGCTTTTGAATTTATATTGGTAGGAATTGTGGTAAAATATAAAAATTTGCCCAAGGATTTATAAGCAAAAAGCCTGAGCCCTCTATTTTAAATTTAAGTACAAAATACTTCATGTTATATTTTGGAAATATAAACTGTGATTCCCATTAACCTCCAGAGCATGTCTCAGCTATCTAGTCATACAGTGAAGAGACCATGCTTGCCCCCTGTTGACATCTGGTAGAATCAGTGCTGGTTTAACTCCTGGTTAGTTCCTGCCAAATATATTGCATGGGATAAAATTCTGTTAGCCATACTGCCCTGATTACTAGATCAGATTCCTCTAGTTTTTTTGTTTGTTTGTTTTTAATATGTCATAGACACATTTAGGTAATCCCTAAATGTGAAGGCTTCATCCTGATTGATCCAGGCTTTTCTTGTATAGACTAAACTGAAGACTGTATCCGAGCCTGTTCATCTGGTGGAGTACCACCATAGCCGATGTGACCATTTAATCACTTCTCTGCAAGTGTTCAAATACAATGTTGCATGAGTGTTACAGAAAGCTGCCAAAAGAAGTTTGGAAAGTTTTAATATGATCTATTTAACTTTTACCTTCTTTTTCTCAGACCATCAGTATTAGATGAAAAGAATCAAGGACTACTTGAAGCTATTTTTGTTAATATACTTGTTCCTGAAGTTTACTGTAAATACACATGTATAGTATATGCCTCGTTCTTTTTAACCTTGTGCTTCCCCCTTCTTCCCGTGGAGTTTCTTTCTACAGATGAGAGGCCATTGGACAGGTGGTGAGAACCAGTCACCCCTGGGTTGAGGGAAAAGTAAGGGCATCTTTTTCATCACTGGTGGTCTCCATGTACCTAAGTTATAATGTCGGAAGCATCATGTACTAGCAATTGTGGGAATAGAAATGTTTTTGCTATTTATAATGTATGTGAAATGAAACATGATACCGTTTCTTAAGTATGTGAAAATGTTTATTTTTAAAGTCACTAAATACATTTTGTCTAACTACCACATGCACTGTTCCAAGAAGAGCCTTTCCCATCTATAACCTGAATTTTGGTTTTCTTGGTTTGAAGTTCTGAGAATAGGAAGTCTTTTGTTAAGACAGCGTCTCTCCTCTTAAACAACAGTGAACCTCATGCCGCTGCTCCAGCGCTCATTGGCCGGCTCTTATAGAGGAGACTTGTGGCGTCATTCTAAACAGCAGCCCATGGTGACAGGGGTCTTCCCTCTCCCTGGTATGGGTTCAGTGTTGAGACACATGAAGGAAGCTTTGAAAACGTCCCCAGTGATGATGATCAGTCAGAAAATGGTAACTTGTACACCCCTCAAGCACTAACAGAAAGAATTTTGGAAACTGTCTAAAGGAGCCAGCTTGGCTGTGACAAGGTGGGGCGCTGCCTGGCCCTTGCTAACGCTGCAGTCTGTTTTAGTGGCTGGGGAGAGGCTGCTGGGGGTGGTGACTGCTGCTCTCTGCGTGCCTCAGCGCAGTAATGGCCTGAACTCGGCACTCGACACACATTCTCCCCCTAAAGTTTTTCAGTTTAGTTTTGTTTTGTGTTTTGTTTTCCAGACAAGAGTTTTTCTGTGTAGCCTTGTCTGCCCTGGGCTTGCTTTGTAGACCAGGCTGGCCTTGAACTCCCAGAGATCCACCTCTTTCTCCCTGAGCGCTGGGATTAAAGGCATGTGCCACCACACCTGGCTTGTTTTTCTATAAGGCAAATGGTAAATTTGGGGCCGAGAAAAAAAAAAAAAAAAAAAAAAACCCTACATAGGTCACTTTGTAGGAACTAGGTGTTGATACTAAAAGACTTTATAATTTTTCTCAGGGACCTAAAACCTGAATTTGAATAAAGTTAAATAAAAACTTTCAGTTGCTAGATTTGTGAATTTCTAATCATTTAACAAGCCACCAGAACGGGGGCGGGGATTCACACAATTGTAAGAATTATCTCAGCAAGTATAGGTAGGCTCCTTTGAGAAAAAGAACCATGTTCTTGGGTCAGCAGGTACTATTGGTCTGATGGGATGAAGCCATAACTCAGTACCGTCAGAACCAAATGTTCTACTCCCTTTGGTTCTTATCAGGGCCTCTGCATCACCACATAGCAACACTATATAGCATTCACTCATGACACAGTCCACATCAGGTTCACTGTTCTCTGTTGCTTCTGCCTCACTGCTCTTCTTCAATCCCAAAATGTGCCTCAGAGAATCTCTCTCCCAGCAATGAAGTGGCTCACAGGCAAAGCCTGTGTTTCATATTTCAGAGCATTCTAGTTACATCACATACTTTAGCCCTTGATAACCCCTGCATTTTCTTTTCTACCCATTAATGTGTGTCTGTAGCTGTGTATCATAGAAGATTTGGCAGAAGCGAATTCATCCTGCATCACAGATTGGAGCAGATGCAGGCAGGGTTCAGGGAGGCAACACGCTTAGTTTGCACATAAGTGGTGCTTCCTGCCATTTAGGCTCTATGGCCGCTCTGGGCACCTGAGACACAAAGGGAGGGATGAGTGCTGCTAGGCGAGACAGACGCGAGCTCAGGGCACAGACCACTAGGGCCAGTCTTTGGAAACCTGCTGTCACTCTTACCGTGCATAGGGGATGAAGACTGCTCCGTGTATCACAAAGACAGAGTCACTGAAGTGTGCAGACATGAAATGATCCATCAAGGTGGTATTCCCCCTTAATACCCATTAGCTGTGTGTTTTCTACCATTAACTAATAAGCTAGAGAGAAGGAAGGATTTTCAGGAGGTGTATGAAATTGAGAGTTGAAGCTATAGAAAGAAGTGGTCCAGGTGGCCTTCTCACCCACCTTGAAAGTTCCTGTTGGGGAATAGCCTTGGGGCCTGCATCCTTCTGTATTGAATGGTGTGCTCTAGCCATCCACACCCTTTTGATAACTTCCCAGCGCTGTACCCCAATCCCATGCTGGGTTAGTAGTAAAAACTCCAGCTTTGTAGGAGACCCGACTTTCTGCATCCCTGGGGTCTTGGTCACGTTTCTCTGGAACATTCTCTCACTTGATTTGGTGTTAAATGGGTAATCTCCATTGATCTTCTAGTTTAAACTTCAAAAAAGCCCTAACAATGGGTCTGTCACCATGTTACCCACCCATTCTAAATGCCTATTTATCAACCCTCTTAGGTCATACAAAAATTGCACCTCTTGAACCAAGTATTTGTATTTACTATGGGAAAGGTGTGGACTACAGATTAGTATTATATTATTTTAATGGATTTAAAGTAATTTATAAGTATGGCGAGTGTAAAATTTTAAAATACTATGTATTATAAAAGGACATAGCCTGTGAAATATGCCACTTTACTCTTTAAGGATTCTGTAAGAATGACTTATCTCATTCACAGAGCTGATTACACTCCTAATGCAATCAGTGGCACTTTGTAATTTTTTTTTTTTTGAGGGGGCAGGACGTTTGTATGAAGTGCAGTTTGCGTCTCTCAGAATTTGCACTGTATGGTACACAAAAGCAGCTGAACAAATCACTCCATGGCTCATTAAAGAACAAAGCTTCTAGAAGTGCATATGTGTGCTTTGTTTTCTGGCTCTCGATCACATTCATAGCCCAAAAGAACAACACTGCTTTCTTCTACTGATAAAATTAAAGAAAAGGACAGCTGTAAGAACTCAACTGAAGGAGCAAGCCAAGGTGCTGCTGGACTGCTGGCTGTCAAGACATTTTAGAGGGACTACCGAGAGAGAGAGAGAGAGAGAGAGAGAGAGAGAGAGAGAGAGAGAGAGAAAAGAAAGAAAATTTAGGCAGTGGAAGACACCTTTAATCCCAGGACTCGGGGGGAAAAAGAGGCAGGTGGCTTTCTGAGGCCAGCCTGGTCTACAGAGTGAGTTCTAGGACAGCCAGAGCTGCACAGAGAAACCCTGTTTCAAAAAACCAAAGTGGTGGAGGAGGAGAACCTAACAAATCTGTGGCATGCCATTAAATCAACAAATATCCAGATTATCCAAAGGCAAGGAGACAAAGATTAGTAGCATGGAGAAACTTTCCAGTGAAATAATAGTGGACAGCCTTACTAATCATAGGAAAGGCATGGACATCTAAATGCAGGAAGCATACAGACATGACCAGAAGGAACCTTGACCATAAGAGATGAAAAATGCTTGATAGCCTTAATCATGGGGGAATGCAAGCCAAAACTATATTGAGTCATTAGCTCCCCTCAGTTAGAATGGCTGTCGCTAAGTAAATGAATACGAGTAATGGAGCAGACTGAAAGAAACTCCTGAAAGTTTTTCATTTTTATTTTGTGGGGAGGGAAGAGAGGGAGGGATGAAGGAAGGGGATGAGGGGGAAAAGGGGGAGAGAGAGAGCTATGTGTGAGTGCCTTTGGAAGTCAGAAGAGGGCAAGAGGGTGTCAGAGTCCCTGGAACTGAAGTTAGCCAGGGTGTGGAGTGTGGGAACTGAACTCAGGGCCTCTGGAAGAGCAGGAAGAGCGCTTAACCATTCCTGTACACTCTTGGTGGGGATATGAGTTATTATCGCCACTCTGGAGAGCAGCACAGAGATTCCCAGGGAGTTAATTGCAGAGGTAGGCACAGTGGTGATGCATGCCGGTCATCCCAGCACTTGGGAGGCTGAGGCAGACAGATCAGGAGTTCAAAGCTTGGAGTTCATAAGATCCTGTGGGGTGTGTGTGTGTGTGTGTAAAAACCACAATGACTGTATTATCCAGACATATGTATGCAATGATTTCTCAATTTCCAGAGAGGTACCTTCATGCTCATGTTTACTGCAGCACTATTCACAATATCCAAGCTATACATTAACCAACAGTCGAATGAATTTTTTAAACATGGCACACCTACACAATGGGGTTTTCTTTGTCAGTAAAGAAAGCTGAAACTCTGTCATTTGCAGCTAAATAGATGGCCCATGTGGGAGGTAAAACATGATAAACCAGACGCATCAAGATAAGCATTAAATGTTATCTTTCATAAGTTGCAACTAAAAAGGTTGTCCTGGAAGTACATGGACAATGACTGGGGACCACAGAAAGGCAGGAAGATGATGAGGGTGGTTCTGAGAAGACAGCTCTTCTGGTTTGGTTTCTGTTGCCGTAACCAAAACAACACCAGAAAGGAGAGGGTTTGCTGCAGCTTACAGTTTGCGGACTACCACGAAGGAAAGCTGAGGCAGGAACGGGAAGCGTGGGCGACAGTGCTTACCAGCTTGCTCAGTTTATTTTTCAGTGCAGAGCCACCCGCCCAGGGGTCATACCGTGCACCACGGGCCGGCCCTCCTACAGCAGTTAGCAATCAAGACCTGCCCACAGCTGAATCAAATGGAGCAATTCCTCAGCAGAGGTTCCTTCTTCCCAAGTGTGTGTCAAACTGACAGACACCAATGCTAAGCCAACAGGCAGTGCATAATTTAAGGCAAAGTCAGCATTTCCCCATTAAATGCCCATGCAGGCAATGGACTTAACAGATGTTTCATTATCATTTTATTTTCCCCATTGCAATGTCGTTTCTGCTGCCCTATTGTGTCACACCAGGAAAGTCACTTGCCCTCTCTGAGTGTCAGTTTTTGTATCCGGGCATTTATTATCTTCCCCAGGTGTCCTCTGCTAACTGATAATAACTCTATTCTTGTGTTAAGGACAGTGGCTCTAAGACTTGTCCTCTGCCCACTTCAGCTGGGTTTGCTGTCTCCAGTTCTCACTAGCTACCAGGAATAAGATCATCACTCAATGGGTGTCAGCTTCACGGAGAAGAACTTCCTGGCTTGGGTCCCTTGGGGGGCTTAGATCCTGAGTGAGAAGCAGTCTGCCTGGGATCAAGCCAGGTCCAAGATGAAACAGAAAAAAAAAAAAAAAAAAACAGTGAATTTACCTTTAATCTCTAAAATTCCTAGATGGCCTTTTCCTGTTTCCACACCAGAATAAGAAGAGTGAGTGCTGTTTCTTAAATGCCTGTAACTGGCCAAATAAAACCGACAAATGATATTTTGGGACTTGCCCCTGAGATGACTGAGTCCATACACACCCTTTCTGATCCCGAAGCCCCAAATGCAGAAAGGTGTGAGGAGATGAGGTCACGGGCAGATCACAGGTGGGTTATGTTCCTTGGAATTACTCTTTCCCTGGTTGGTCTGCAGTAAGCGTCTTTGAGCCAGGGAGAACCAGGAGAGTTTGTTTGTCAAATCCCATGGGTATCTGGGACTCAGAGAGCAGGTGGCTTCGGGCTCCAAGTCTTGAGCGAACTTGGCCACCGGCCCCCAGCCTCCTCGTGCTTACTCTTGGGTCAGAACGGTGACTACAGCAAAGGTCCCTGGCCCACACTGGGCTCGTAGTCTAAGCCAAGGAAGCAGCCTGGCTTCCTTCTAGCTGTGCTTACTAATTTTGGTCTTTCTGGTTATCTTGAAGTCTTCTTGAACTACCTGGCTAGGCCATAGAGGAGAAGCAGTTTCCCAAGAAAGGCCAGGGTAAGCCAAAGGGACGTCCATGGAACTTCACAGCTGAGCACGCTTCTGGCACTGAGGGCAAAAACCAAACCAAGCAAACCAAGCCAAGCAAGTCTCAAAAGGACACAAAAGAAAGCCGTCACCATCTGCGTGTGCTCATCAGCCGGTCTTGATGCGACAAAATACCAAGTTCAGTCCCTAGCACCCATTTAGGGCAGCTCAAACTGCCTGTAAACCAGATCCAGGGGTTCTAAAACCTGTGGGCTCTACAGGAACCAGCACCAATGAGCGACCAACGCACGTGCGCGGGCGTAAACACACACACACACACACACACACACACTTCAAAGTAACTCTTTAAAAAAGGAGAGATTTTGGCTCACGGTTTCGTTCACCGCTGATGATCTCCGTTGTTGCTTTCACTTGGTAGAGGAACAAGCAGCTACTCAGGTGTTCACAGGACAAAGGCTAGAGGAGGAGCCAGCGTCCAGGCCGCCCACCTTCCTTCCCAACGGGACCCACCTCTTAAAGGTTACAGCAGCTCTCACCAGTGCCCTGGGCTGGTGCCACGCTTCTCACTCCTCCCTGGGACATTTACCATCCAAACCAAAACACTTATTTTCTGGTGTTCCTGCAACAGTGGAAAGCCCTGGAGGAGCAGCTGGCTTTGAAACCAGGCAGAGGGCAGACGGCTCGGCTTGAACGTCTCCTTGAGTTCTCCAGACTTCCTCCTGGGAAAGCCCAGAGTTCTTTGCCAGAGCTTCAGCAGACCACCTTTGCACTCTAGTGATGTCAAAAGCCAGACTGTGAACGAATCGGCTGGGCAGATGTGGCCCATTTCAACCATGTGTTCTCATCGGCATCTTTGTTCAGGCCTTAAGAGGACAGACAAGTGCTGACGGGAAATTAGAGCGATAGCAGGGCAGACACCAGAGAACCCAACAATGGCCAAGCCGATGCTTCACTTATTTAGTTATTTGGTTTTGTTTGTCTATTTGTTGTCTGTTTGTTTCTCAGTGTGGGTGCAAGTGGAGGTCAGGAACTGGTTTTTCCCTCCCAGCACATGGTCTCTAAGCTCAAACTGAGGCCAGCGGATGACCACTGTTGTTTCTTCACTGAGCCATCCTACCGTCTCCCTTAGTTGGCGTCCTCTGACTCGGTCCTCTCTCAGCCCTGCCCGCTTCGGCCATTTCCTGCACAGAAGCTGAGCCTCTGCGGCTGTACTCAAAGGAAGGCCAAAGGCCAGGCCACCCCTAGACTCTGTCACTTCCTCACACATCGTTTTACTTCTCTAAAGATGGGAAATGCAACGGGATGCTCTAGCAGAGGGGAGAGGAGGCAGAACAGAGCAGCCGGTGACTGACAGCACTACAGTGTGGGCGTCCACAAGACCTTTGCTGATTCAGAAACTGTGACAACTGAGCCTCCTCGGAGCTGTGTGAGAACCAGACAGCACAGCCTGGGGTCCCCGGCTCACTGCCTGTCGTACACATTGCCTGACACATGTAGACCTGTGTCCGGGTGGTGCCGGGCCCCTGACCCAGGGCTTCACACACTATGCAAGTGCTCTCCGCTGGACCACGGCCAGTCGATGTGTTAAAGTGTGTAATTATTTCCCACGTCTCACGAACTTGCTTGGGTCTTTGTGAAAGAGTGCTTGTCTGAGCCAGTTCTTTCCATAAGGAATGATGGTGAAGAGTTCACACACACCCACACTCAGCACCTTCCAATGTCTTCATCTGAGCATGTGCTCACGCATGCTCGAGTGCGTGTGCTCTTACACTCTCGCGCACGCACACACACACACACGCACGCACGCACGCACGCACGCACGCACGAGGGGCCTGCAACTGCCTCCTCTGAGCTGCAGGTGCTTTCCAGATGTGAAGGGAAGAAGGGGGGGCATTGGTTGGATCCTGTGGGAAACTGCCCAGGGCCTGAATTCGTGGTGCCTGGACTCTGACTGGCAGCAGCTTGTACTCACGTCTCCACGTCCTCAAATAGAGAGCCCTGATGCAGTCAGTTTTCTGGTTTTATTTTAACTAAGGTCAAAGAAAGTACAGCAAAGCACATGGCTTTTAAGTGCCCATTGTTTAATGACTATCAGTGTCTCCTCCAGATCACAATAAAGGGCTTTTCTAGCGAGGGCCTTCTCCCTCTCCCACCCCAGGGTGACTCCTGGCTTTACCGCTACCAGCCTCATCTGGATTGGTTTTTCTCATTTTCTTTTCTCTTCTCATTCCCACCTTCCGTCCTTCCCCACCCTGGCCCTGGTCTTGACGACGTTGTAAATGTCAGCCATGGCTGACTCTTGTTCAGCTTATGAACTGGCTCCATGTTGTCCGTGCACCCTGTTTAGTTTTCTCCACCCCAGCTGTTTTTCCTATGACTGTAACACACCCGTGCGCTCTACTGTCCAAACAGAGTTAGGGATGTTAGGAGGAAGACGGCACGAATATTCCAATCATGGACTTCGGGAGAAACCTGTGCCAGGTACAAATGCCTGCAGGTGGCCTGGCTAAGGAGAGGCAGGAAGTGTGTGCTGAAGGCTGCCCGGGCTGCGGGCACTTGCCACCCCTAGGTTTTAAACATGTCACACAGGAGCTTCTCCATGGGCGTGTTCCCTATGGTCTTCCGGAAGAAGAGGAGCTCGATGCGCTCGGCCGTGAGGCCCCTGAGCGACGGGAGCAGGAGGAGCAGCTTCCCGAACCTGGAGGGTGGAAGGCACTGTCAATAGTTGCTCATTGTATGTCAAGGTTACAAAGGGAGAAGTTTCTTTGCATGTGTTGGTGTTTCTGTGTGAGTGCATGTCTGAGGGCCTGTGTGTGTGCAGATGCTCATGTGTTTGGGTAGAAACTGAGGTCAAGTGTCTTCCTGAATCTCCCCGCCCCCAGCTAACTCGCCCAGGGACCCCTGGGTCGGTCTCCTCGGAGACTGCAGGCAGCTGCCACCTCCTGCGGGGTCCAGGAGTCTGTGCTCCAGCTCCGCACTGTGAGGAGGCTCCCGGCCTGTGGGTCGTGTTCACTGGTCACATGAATATGCGAATTAAGTCACAGCAGCCTTACACAGAAGAATGACTCCTGTTTGTGAGACACCTGAGAGGACAGTAGCTACGACTGAAAACATTCTAAAGTCAAGGGAGATGTGGGGTAGCTGAGACAGACCTCCCACAAAAGTCCATCCCAGTTTCAAGTAGGAGCCATCTGCTAACGCAGGGGTCCCCGGTGCAGCAGAGGAAAAAATCAGAACCCGGTGACCCCGGGCAGAAGGCCCGAGGCTGGGCCAGTGCCCCCACCACCGAGGCAGCTGCTGGCTGCTCCTGAAGGAGCTCTGCCCTTCACTTGGCCACGAGCGGCTTCCCGCATAAAGCTTCCTTTCTCTTCTGAGCGCACGTGAGAACTCACACACACACCTGGAGTCACAGCTAGACTTTAAAAAATAAAATTAAAACAAAAACAACACACAACAGAGACTGAGCATGTCCCAGGCAAGAGTCCTTGCCCGGCAGACATGGGGTCCCGGGCTCTGTCCCCAGCATGCAGACCTCGTGTGGCTGCACAGACCTGTCACAGCTTAAAGGGACCCCCAGCGGCACAGCGAGTCTAGGCCCAGCATGGACGACATGAAACAGCCTCCGAGCAGTGTACCAGAGCAACCATCCAAACCATACAAGGGGGTGTTTACGGGGGCCCTTGTTTCAGTGTCTCTGTGTAGGCTGGGCTAAAACTCGCCGACCAGACCGGAAGCCTGCTGCAGTGCCACTCCTGCCTGGAGGAAGTAGCAAACTGCAGAGGGGAAGAGGGCCGTTTGCGTGTGGAGGCCAGAGGCTGTCCTCTTCAATCACTACCCACCTTATTTTAATTGTGTGTGTGTACATGCACCACATATGTGAACACACGTGTTCCGGTGTACAGACACACACAGGCCAGGAAAAGACACGGGCACCCTGCACATACCTGCCTTATTCCCCTAAGACAAGGTTTCTCTCTAAATGTGAACCTTGTTACTTCAGCTAGACAGAGAGCTGCCAGGATGGCCCTGTCTCTGCTGCCCGTACCAGGAGTTTCCGCTTTTTCACGAGTGCTGGGGATTTGAACCCAAGTCCTCACGCTTGCACGGCAAACACTCTCACCCACTGAGCCATGCCCCCTGCCCTTCCTATTTTTTGAAAACAAGGCCTCTCAGCTGAGCCTGAAGCTCATCAGTTCAGCAAGGCCGGAGATGAGCTCTGGGATCCACCTGTCTCCCCTTAACTCAGTGCTGGGGTGACAGGCGCCTGTACCACGCCTACCTTTCATTGCAGATCCAAACTCGGGTCCTTGAGCTTGGCAGACTCGGGCTGGGTAAGCTTCCCCTGCTCCCACATAGGGAGTCTTCCCCAGTAGTTTTGAAACACGATACATAATCAACGGGCCGAGGTGCCTCTCGGGTGGCCAGGGGCCACCCTGGAGGGAGCGTGCCCTGGGAAGAACCGGTTCTGAGCGTCCAGGATGCTCTGCCAGCCTTAGCACCGGCCCTTTGCTCTGCTCACTCTGCTCCCAGACTCTCAAGCGGTCCCCTCCACCTCTCCCACCAGATGTATATTTGGTGGGCATTCTGATCTCTAGTTGAGCTGGATTCAGGGTAACTCTCCGGCTCCATTTCCCACCTTCCTACCAGCAAGAATCTTTTGAACCTTCCATATTGGACTCCTGACTAATTACTTTCTTTTTTTTTTTTTGGTCAGGGTTTCTTTGTGTAGCCCTGGCTGTCCTAGAATTTGCTCTGTGATCAGGCTGGCCCAAGTCAAAGAGATTCATCTGCCTCTGCCTCCTGAGTGTTGGGATTAGAGGTGTGTGCCACCACCCCAGTCCAAAAGGTAAAAATGTAAAGCCTAGCATTTGCTACCCGTTGAGACGCAAGCCACTCTCCAAACCTGGCCAAGGTGACTCTTGTCTTTCATGTGGCTGCTGTGCTGGATGTCCCAGAAAGCTTTGTCTCTTGGTCCCCTCCTGGGACCTGGCACTGTGCCTGGTCCACAAGTGATGTTGGCAAGCTGTGGCTGACTGAGCCCTTTATCCTGTCTAAGTAGGGAAGCCCGGAGATAGTGTGGGATAGGTGGGAAGGAGGAAGGAGGGAAGTGGGGAGGGTAGGGGGCAGGAGGGCCATCGCTGTCACCTAACGGGCTGGCTGGGGTGTCGAGCCTTGCTATGCTGGCTTAGCATCACCTGGGACTGGTCCTGTAAAGCCTCCACATGCTCAGGATCCTTCAGGCCTCGTGTCTCTGAGGAGAAACAGTGCAGTGAGCTCCCTTCCAGAAGTCAGCCTCACCCCACACCCCCAAAGTATTTTGTCAGACCACATCTCTCCTCTGCCCCTCAGAAATAAGACTATCCCTCTATCCCAGGTGGGTTTGAGGGTCTCAGCTGAGGGAAGTCACCAGAAACTGTCCCCCTCCATTAAATTCTCAACCGTGTTTCTGGAAGGCTAGAACCAAGGCTCAGTACCAGGTTTGAAGAGGACCAGGGCCTTCATGCAGGCAAACTCTGTGGGGTCTACCGCCAGCGCACGGAACCTGGATATGGTTTCCTGCAGGAAGCGCATCTCTGCACTGGCCAAGGCCAGCCTGCTCTGAGAGCCACCAGAGGCCTCTGGTGGTGCCAGCAGGGGGCAGCTGTCCAGAGGCAGGGACCACTGGATAGCCCCAAGGAGGAAAAGTTCATTCCATGCCTCTTCCAGCAAGATGACCTGTGAGCAGAGAGGACTCCAGCTGCAGAGCTCCGATGCTCCCAGCCTGTCGCCTTCTCCAGGAACGGAAGCCCTGCTCCAGGCATCTGGAGCCTTCTCCCGACCTCCATCTGCACAGGCTCTGGCTCAGCTACCTAGATTTCCAGCCTCTTCATGGATTCTATCCAGAGCTGTGGCTGGGTCGTTCAGGATAAGCCTAGAGCCTGGAGACGCTGTGCAGCTGCAAGAGGAGCCCGAGAGTGTCACGTTGAGTGAGTTCAAGAGACTGGCTAATGCTTCTAAGCCCTTCCGTCCAAGCACACAGCCTTGCTGAGGGCTCAGCACCTCTGGCTAAGCACTCTCTCCTGGGTCACTGTAAGATCTCTGCCTGCCCATCAGAAGCTCAGAGCGCTTTTCCAGATGTGGAGAGGCTGGGGTGACCCTCAGGTCTGAAGTCATGGGAGCCTGTGCTCTAAAGAACCAGTCAACCACATGTGGCTCAGGCCATGCAGATGGCTGTCTCTCACAGCATGGCTACAAGGCCAGTTTGCAAAGATGAAAGACAATGGACCCAGAGAGCCACAGGTCCCACTCTGCACCCCAGGCTCTATGCATCTCTGGCTAGCATCTTTCCTCAGGGACTTACGGGTGTCCCTGCCACTGTCCTGACCAGCCCCAGCACAGAGACACAGCGCCCGGGGTCACCATCTGAGCTGTGTAAGCCTCCATCCCTCACCAATATGTTCCCCCAAGCTGGCGGACCAGTGACTGCTGACTGTGCCTGGCCCAGCCCCAGCAGGCAGGCTGTGTCGGGTACCTGGTCCCGGAAGGGCAGGTTGGAAAACACAGGCAAGTTTTTGGCCCATTTGACGGCCATGAAGAGTAGGCGAGCTGATGTCTCGTGGATGCCATCCAGACTGCAGGGAGATTCGGGGAACTCGGGGTCGTTGCTGGTGACGTCAATATTCTCTTCAGCTGTTGAAGGAGGAGGTTTTGACTCAGTGCCTGCTCTGTGGAAGCGGGGTGTGGGGAGCCACGCCCACTGCCGTCCGCCTACCATCCTCCGGCTCCAGCTTAGCACAGGTCTCTGCGGTGATGAGGCTGGCCATAAAGTGGTGGCCCACGGCTCTGGCTGCAGATGCGGACGTGGGGGTCCGGGAACTCGGCCCTGCCAGGGCAGGGGACGCCACCACGGGCTCTGGCTGGGGATCGCTGCCCGCTTCCATCCCATCCAAGTGGACCTGGGCCATGCTTCGGGGTTGGCGCTCGTTCTGCACAGCTTGGAAGGGGGCAGATTCAGGATCCCCCCGCCCCTTGGCGGTGATCTATCTGCTCCTCAGCCTTTCCCACCTTACTGTGCCCACCACTCACCATCTTGGTTCATGCCTGCTTGTAAGCACTTCTTCAGCCGGCAGGCCTGGCACTGGTTGCGGTGGGCCTTATCCACGGGGCACATCCCCGCCCCCACTTGGCATCTGCAGAGGACAGGGAGCTGCTGAGGGCCAGGGCCGTGCCCAGGCCCTAGGCCTCGAGGGGACAGTTCTGCCCCGCTCTCATCTTCCGCTTCCCCGAACCACCTCCACCCGCGAGAGGCTGGAACAGCGGCGGCACCTGTAGATGAGCCTCCGCCGCACGCTCCTCTTGAAGAAGCCGCTGCAGCCGTTGCAGGCGTAGATGCCGTAGTGTTTCCCGCTGCTGCTGTCCCCACACACGCGGCACTGCAGCGAGGGGCCCACACCTGGGGGGAGGCAGGAGGAATGAGGCAGTGCGCATCCCCAGCCGTCCTTTCCCGGGTCCATGGGTTCCCACCTGAAAAAGCAGCTTCCTCGCTCTGACACCCTGCCCCCGCCCCTCCCCTCCCCTCCCCTCTCCTCCTCTGACACCCTCCTCCCCTCCCTCTTCTCCCCTCCTCTGACACCCTGTCCCCGCCCCTCCCCTCCCTGACACCCTGCTCCTGCCCCCGCCCCTCCCCTCTTCTGCTCCGGCCGTAGTCTGTCTCCAGCAAGACCCGCGTTCCCAGCCCCACTCCTTCCCCGTGGGTGGCTTCAGGCTTTCCCGAGAAGTCACAGGATCTCTCTGTGTCTCAGGAGCACCCATCTCCCCGCTCTGCAGCTCCACCGGCTGGTCCTGCTCTGCTGGCCTTTAAGTTTCTAGGATGCTGGGGTTATTGGCAGGCTTGGGCTTCGTGGCTGAGGCTCCTCTCCCAGCCCCCCTTAACCCACTGCTTGTACTCTCGTCCCCAAGGGCCCAGACTTCACCTCCAGGAAAATCATACCTGTGGGATCCTCTCCCAGGCCCCATCTGCCTGGAGACTCCTTCTTGGAGGCCGTCACAGCCACCGGCACAGCCGAGGCAGCCACTGTGGAGCTCATTGGCTGCGGCTGGTCCCCGGGGCAGCCTGCTGCCGGTTGCCTATGCCTCTGTCTCTGTCTGTCGGTCTGCCTGTGCCTGTCTCTCCTCTGCTTCCCTTCCCGTGTGAGTTGGCTTTTCCTCCTCTGGAGCGTTCTCGGCACCTGGGCTCTGGGTCCAGCCTTCTCCCAGCATCGCTCTGGATGCAGGGTCTGATCCTCTTAATCTTTACTGTCTCCGCAGGGGATCAGCTGGCCACACCTGCGGCCTTAACCAGGTGCCTCCTGGGAGCAGCTCAGTCCTGCTGTCTTCACACTGACTCCTCCGGCAGCCTAACACCCTGGGGCCTGTCCATCCTCTGCTGTCCTTAAACACAGCGCACAGGAGCACGGAGCCTGGCGGATCCTGTGTGTCTCAGATGCCTGCTATCTAGTGACAAATCTTATGGGTGGGTGCTGTTCATCCCACCGCCCCAAGGACTTTAAGTGCTTTGCTGTTTGCCGTGTATTTGAGGCGCGATGCCTGTGTAGGTAGCACTAACCTGCGGCTGTTCCTGCCTGGGGGCTTGGCCACTTTGGATCCTGGGAAACGCACCCTCTCTCCTGGTGGCTCTCACTCTAGTCTCTTGATAAAGCATGATTTGGTGACCCTCGGAAGACTTGCATCAGCAGATGTCTGTGATCAGGTCCAGCGGAGGGAGTTAGGCCTGCTGGGGAGGGGAGAAGCTGGCAGACATTTCCCATGGCGCCACGAGGTGGGTCACAACTCATGAATGGGAGTCCGGTCCTTCCGGTACCTGGGCCCCCACAGGAAGAGTGGCAAGGATGGCTCCACCTTCACGTCTGTCCCGACTCTGTCGTGGGCCACACAGCCCCCAGCTGGTGGCTCGGCCTCTGTGAACCTCGGTTTGCTCCTCTGGGGTGACACAAATGCTTGTCTTCCGGTATGGTTGGGCAGATGAAGTTAGGTAATTCCCAGAACGTGTTTTGGTGCCTGGTACAAACTAGGAAAATTGGAACATCACCAGGTAAACATCCTTTCCTGTCCCTGCTACTCTGCCCCTTGCCGATCTTGCCCCAGGCCCAAGAGGGTCAGGTGATGGCATGTTGGTCTGGGGGCAGGGGATTCCCATCCTCAGCTGGCCTTCCCTCCCAGGGTGGGGCAGGGCAGGCCTGTCCTCCATTAGAGCCTGGGGGCATCTATTAGGATCAAGGAGTTGAGGGGACAGAAGTGTGGGTGTGGCCTCTTAAGTGGGGTTAACCCTCTCTGTGACAGGGAAGCACTATTGGGGATTTGGAAAGTCAGCTCAGAGGCTTTGCAGGATGATCAGCCAAGGCTGCAAGGCTCTTGCCTGTCCTCTCTGTCCTCGCTCCTACCCAGAAGGCCCTCAGGACCCTTCATGGACAAGGCCCTGAAGCTCTACTTAGCATCCAAGCCAAGGATTCCAGACACAGGCTTGTACTCTAGACATGTCATCAGCTTCACACATTCAAGTCACCCTAGCAAGTCTGCCATCCTCCCCGGGGGCAATCTGGAAGACGTTCATGGCTTCCGAGACAGCCCCATGCCAGGCTCTCCCCAGTGTCCGTCCTCACCCAATACCTCACCCCACATCCCATTCATCTCCAGCTGACCTGCACAGACACCTTAGAGGGGCCTGGGGCTTGGGGTGCAATCATGTACAGGGGCAGAATGGGTCAGGCTGAGTCAGCACAGAGGGAGACATAGGACCCATGGGCATGGAAGATACAGAGGAGGAGTCAAAGACAGAGATCTCTGGAGAAGGGTTCCAAGACCCCTCACACAAACACCAGGCACACACTCACACCTCACAGTGACCCTACAGAGAAGCTTCCCACCATGAGCTCAACTCACAGGTGGGAGACTTGAGTCAGTGAGGCCCAGAGGGGGAGGTAATCTGCCTCAAGCTACACAGCTAGGGAACAGTAGAGCAGTCAGAATAGAGGAGGGGTAGGTCAGCGCAGACCCACCCCGAAGTCTCTGGGGAGACATCTGGGTAAGTGTGCGCCAGGAGGACGGGCCGGCTGAAGACAGGACCAACGGGCCAAAGGACAGCTCCTGGCCGGCACCGGTCTTGTCATTTTATTTTCTGAGCACCGGGCACTCCGTTTCCTCATCGATAAAGCAGGAGTATGTGTCCTGGGGTCGGGGGTTGGGGGTGAGAGACACGCTGTAAGGGTTCGTAGGGAAGAGGGCAGAGGCAGGGCGAGGCCAGCACCAAAGGGAGTTTTTTTCTTTCCCAGGTGGGCTTGGGCCTCATTTGGGGCTGACACTATAGAAAAAGGACCAAGGAAGGGAGACAGTCCTGGGTGGCCTCAGGGAGGTCTTGTGGCCAACTGAGCCCAGAGACCCTGACCTACCAGGTGTGTGTTCTAGGCAGGTGCTGGGAGGATCTGGCCACAGGACAGACGCAATGTCTTCCCCATGGCGCATGGCCTCTGGTCAGGCCCCAAGGGGCACCCTGAAGGCAGAGCAAACAGGTGAAGTGGGAAAGGGGTGTCCCAGCTCCCCTGCTTCATCCCTGCCTATCCCTCAAGGCCTGCTCAGTGTCCTCTCAACCCACCCATTCTCTCCCGCTAGATCTTGTCCAGGGCCAGGCATGTCCTTAACGTTGGAGCCTGTTCCAGTCTGCTCCCTCTCTGTCCAGATGGAGGATTCCAGGAATGGGGGAGAGTTCAGCTTAGCATCTGATCAGAAAGCATTCTTTAGACAGCAGGTCCGTCCCTGAGTGTCTATTCCCCTGACAGTCTTGCCTTTGGCATGTTGGGCTCCCCAGGATTGAGCCCTGCGCTGGTGAGAGCAACCACAAGATGGTTAGATGACAGGAGAGAGACCACGCAGGGGTTAGGCAGGCCTGCCGGGGGTGGGGGTGTTCCCCCAGCTTCTGACCGCCAGCTGCTGGGGCAGACGCCAAAGGATTACTCAACTCAAAGCCTGGAAACTGCTGACGAAGCACCAGAGGCCACCTTACTAATGCAATTATTCCCTTAGGGGACAGGTCAGCAACTTCCTCTGACTCCCCGAGGCCTCGGGTGGAAGCTGCCCATGATGCAAGCTGCAGCGCTGGCCTCCTCCAGCCCGGGCTGGGAAACCCTCAGAACCGGCTCTCCAGGGCTCAAGCCTGAGGCCTGACCTGCCAGGGCTCTGCCCGACGGAGGGGACGGCTCCTGCCAGGTTGGGATGATGGCTGCTGCCAGTGAGGTTGGTGACTGGCTGTCACCCCAGCAAGTGTAGGACGAGATCTAGCCAGCACGGGGTCCCCGGAACAGGTCTCCTCCCAGGGCCATTTACTTGGCAGGATCTCATGTACTCCAGGCTAGCCTCAAAGTCACCATACAGCTGAGAATGACCTTGAACTTAAATGATAAAACAAACACTTTTTTTCCATTTCTTACCTGTATAAGGTGTGCTCTGATCATTGCATCTCTCCGAAGCCCCTCCCACCCACACTATCCCTCCTCTTCCTCCCCACAACCTCCCTTCAAACAAACCAGCAACAAACATCACATTTTGACTTTGTGGGGTTTTGTTTTGTTTTGAGACCCAGTGAGTTTAACTATGCAGTGTATGAAATGTCTGTGTCAGTTTGAACTATGGTCTGGAGGACTCCTCAGTGGTAGGCAGCGGCTGCCCCCCTCAGAATCCGCCGGTAGCCACTATTCCGTAGGGAGGAGAAGGGCCTGTCTTGTGTAAGTGGCCACAGCTGCTCTGAGGTCAGCCTTGAGCTAGTGATCCCCCTGCCTCTGCCTCCTTAGAGCTGGGACTTCAAGGGTGAACCTCGACACCTGGTCTGTGTGTTCTGGGAAAGGAACGGTGCTGGCCACACGAGCACTCTGCCCACTGAGCCACACTCCCAGGTGGCCTCACTCTCCTTGAAGAGCTACAGTTGGGGGGTCTCCACTCACGGAGGCGGGAGCACCCGCTGCTGTCGCAGCTCCAAAGCCACACCAAACGTTTCCAGCTCCACTTCCCAGGCCTCAGACGGCAAAGGCCACAGCATGCTGGCCTCCTTGGCCTAGCTGAGTCAATGGCTTCTTTCTGAAGCACGGCAGCGTCAGGCCACAGCTCAGAAAGGCAGGTGCCAGCAGTTTCCTGACAAAGGCTCCTTATTCTGCTCTGGAGATAACATTCAGAAGTGACCCAATATTTCTCTGCTCAACCACCCAGGCCTTCAGAGGGGAGTCTTTGCCCTTGAGCATTCTAAAGAACTAAGCAGACCTAGAAGGCCCTATCCTGGGCTCCAGCTGCAGGGAATCTTGTTCTTCTTCCACCTGAGGTGACCGGAAGTGATCACACCTGGGTCAACCCCTCCCTCCTGCCAGGCCCTCTGAAGGGAGGCTCCTCTGCTTCCTAGCAGAATAGTGTGTATGCGTGTGTGGGAGTGTGTGGTGGGAATACGAGCATGTGTCTGTGTATGTATATTTATGTATGAGTGTGTCTCTGCATGCATGTATGTGTGTACGTGTGTGGTGTGTGTTCATGGGCATATGCTGGAGGACAGAGGTATCTTGCTTCCCCTTGATTCCTTGAGACACTTCTCATAGAAGCGCCCCAGTGCAGCGAGGCTGGCTCAGGAAGAGCCCCCTGATATCTGCCCCCAACACTGGGAGTCCAGGCACGCACACCCATGCTCTACTTTTACGTGATTGCCACGGATCTGAACTCACATCCTCATGCTTGCACAGCCACACCTTGCTCACTGAGCTGCCTCGCCTAGAACGTTCTAGACTCCTCACGGCAGAAGTTCTCAGTGGAAGTAAAAAGCTCCTGTTTTTTAATGTTTCCTGATGAATGTGTATTACAGCTAAAATCAGAACTGAAGAAAGTGCTTTCCGTCTCTGGAAACAGTGAGTTGGGGGGAGACCGTGTTACCTAGAGAAGTACTCATGAGCACTTATGAAGAAATGAGGCACAGGTAGCCTGCTGACTCTAACCGGGGTATAAACCAGGGCATTGCTGGGCCCTGGGCCAGGCCTGGGCTGGGAGTATCTCAACAGGGGTGAGGAAGAGTACAGTATGGGAATACTTTAAAAACTGTATTTGCTTTTTTGAGACAGGGCCTT